CGAAGACCAGCCAGCGATCGTTCACCCGTTCGCTCGTTGGCGCGCGCCCGAAGCCCTAGAGCTAAGCCAAGTTAGGCAACGCGGGGTGGCGTTTGCCCCTCAACACCATCAAATATTTGGTACGCGAGCAAAAATCAACGCCAATTCTACAACTACCGTCTGCCCGGCGTCCCCCTGAACCAAGCCCCGTCAGGACGAGACTATTCTTGGCGTAACGCTACGGAGACGGTCATGACGGTCCGCTAGCTAACCGCCCGCTTGTCCGGACCGACGGTGATGAGGCTGGACGATGCCGACCCCTGGGAATTTCTTCGCTGCCGGCTAGGAAGGTCAAGCGTTGACGCTGTACTCTGCGGCCAGCTCGACCCCGTACTTAGGTTTGCCCTCGTTAGGCTGTTAGCAATCGCTCTACGGTTTCTACGCCTTCCCCGCTGTGTACCAGCTGCGGAATTTGTTAGGTTAGTTGGTTGAACCGTGCGAGTGAACATGTGAACACGGCTGGACAGCGGAGCGGATTTCTAAGCAATCTTCGACTAAGTAACCTGCGCAGACTACAGTCGGTAGGCAACCCGAGGCTACTAAGCAGCCACCGCATGCTTGGGACCGCTCTGCACTTGATGAACTCGTTTGAGGACACCATCCTTTATATTATTACTACTTTTTCGTTAGTTTAATGCCATATTAAGGCTCTCTGATATCTTATGCAAGCGAGCACTCAACTTTTTAGCTTCTCTTACATATAAAGTCTCGCTACTAGTTACTCCTGCGAACTACTCGGAGGCTGTAGCTTACTTACGGCTCCTGTTTTGCTCGGCCCTAATCTAGGTCAAGTAAGAAGTGATGGTAGTATCACGCCACAACACCATAGATATTAGTAATGAGCACCAATCAGGGCCCTGATTGTAGTAAAGCCGCACGCGCGACCCCACCTGTGCTATCCTGCTGCAAAATCGCCCCTAATTTCTATAGCCAGGGCCCTAATCGTACGGTCCTACGCTTTTCGAGCAACACAGCGCTCCATATACAACGTGTGCTGCCTTGGTGGATTTACATAGCCGGCTTAAGCGTTTCAAATAGCGGGCCGGCGCTGCGACTGCCGACACGCTGCCACAAGGATGCTACTGCGCTCCGGCCCCCACAGAGGACGTAGCCTACTAACGTATCTGGTACTCTTACCCGCTGGCCCCCATCTTCTTTCTACGACAGCCTGGTTGATTTGCTTCGCAGTGTGGCAGTGTAAGCACACTTCTGCAACTAAGCGAGGCTGTGTATATCGATAGTAGAATCAGGTTACTTCATTTTCCCCCGCTAGGACCCAAGCTGTAGGTAGCTCAGCAAAGGCGATTTATAAGCTATGTTACTGTCTAGTACCTGCAGGTGAACGGAGCACGTGCCTTACGAGTCTACCTTACCACACAGACTTAGATAATACAGAACAAAACATTTGCATGATTACTAATGAAATATCTATGGCCTATAGTAGGAGATGGCTTCTATCGGTTATATCGGCTAGACGAGGCTGACAAGCATACCGCTCAAGATCGGAGATGGATAAGGTCTAGACTCTTTAGTGTCCCACTTTTAACAGTCTTCCTTGTCTCGGCTATTGCACGGTAAAATTTGTCCTGCACAAGCACTTTCCGGAAGAGAGGCGATAGCCGCCAGTAGTAAGTTAATATAATTTGCTCTACGAGTAAGCTACGGTGGGGGCCAGCTCTATATATTTCGTTGCCCACCTCCTTCTCAGAAAACTACGATTTGCTCGTGTAAGCAATCATTGATCACTTTCTCGAAGATCGGAGACATTCGTCTTTCTTTAGACTTTGTACGCTTGGTCCGAAAACTATTACTAATAATTGCTTACCGAATTTAGGATGCAACATTCGACCACATCAACCGCCTCCTCATGTCCGACCCTAACAACTATACTATTGGCTGGATCTGTGCTATAACGACCGAGTATACCGCGGCACAGCAGTTCCTTGACGAAAAACATGAAAGCCCCGAATATGTATCCCCCAATGACAACAATGAATATACTCTGGGCCGTATAGGCAGCCATAACGTGGTGGTTGCCGTTCTTCCAGATGGCGAGTACGGCACGAGCTCGGCAACAAGTGTTGCAAGGGATATGCTTCACACGTTCCCGAATATCAGAATTGGTCTGATGGTTGGCATTGGTGGGGGTGCACCGACCGCAAAAAAGGATATCCGTCTTGGCGACATTGTGGTTAGCTCCCCCAGCAACGGTAAAGGGGGTGTGTATCAGTACGACTACGGAAAGACTATTCAGTCCCAGGAATTTCAACCGACCGGGATGCTTAACCAGCCACCACCCGTATTGCGTGGCGCAGTGAGCGGTCTCATATCTCAGTACGAAGGAGACGGAAACAAGCTATCACAAGCTGTAGAAGCTATACTCAAGAAGAAGCCAAGGCTTAGGAAGAAGTACCAACAACCTAACCTACAAGATGATCGACTCTATAAAGCCGAGTTTGTCCATGCTTTAGGCAGCGAAGAGAGTTGCGTGGACGTTTGCGGTAACAACGATTTGAATCTGGTACAGCGACGCGAGCGAACGGAAGACGAAGACAATCCAGCTATACACTATGGCCTGATTGCCTCTGCCAACACGTTGATGAAAGATGCGGTCATACGTGACAAGCTTGCGGGAGAACAAGGAGTGCTATGTTTTGAGATGGAAGCCGCTGGTCTGATGAACCACTTCCCGTGTCTGGTCATCCGTGGTATCTGCGACTACTCCGATTCACACAAGAACAAGGTGTGGCAAGGCTATGCGGCTATGACAGCGGCGGCGTATGCCAA